TGCTTACTTAGAAGAGAAGGAAAAGGGTGCATTTGGAGACAGCACTAGGGTTGGCTCAAATGGTGCTCATATAATTTTGATACCTGTGTGTGAGAGATGTGATTTCGTGGGGTTACTCCAGTGTAAAAGAACCGTTCCGCTGGATGGAAGTAAAGCTTCTTTGTTGCAGAGGCCGTAAGGATTATGATGATGGCATAACTTTCCATTGGAGGAAGTGCCTAGGGTCATGGGTGGGAGGGGAAGGAAATAAAAACCAGTCATAAGTCACTTTTTTCAATGCTGTTCTAACTTTGAACAGTCACTAAATGAGCTGTTATAAGTTGAGGATTTTCTGCCCTTGGAGTATACCAGAAAACTGCCAGGGCAAACTATGAAAACATGTAGCAAACCCGACACACACTAGCATTGATGACGTTACCTAGCTGGGTCATGAAACATCTGCAAGAAAACAATCAAGCTCAGAGAGCACCAAGGACCCCCACAGTTCAGCCCTGAGCTACAAATATTTTCTTCCTTTGATCCTTATACCACCTTTGAAAAATTGGTCCTCAAACACTCTCCTCTCATTAATTTTCAAGAGAATCTTGAATGTGTAGTAATTTAATACAGGTAGTCCTTGGGTTACAACCATTTGTTTAGCGACTGTTCAAAGTAACAGTGCCATTGAAAAAAGTGACCTCTGACCAACTGTTGCAGCATCCATCCCCAGGATCACCTGATCAGAATTGGGTGTTCGGCAACCAGCATGCATTTACGTCGGTTGCAACGTCCCAGCGTCCTCTGGGGTCATGTGATTGCCCTTGGTGGCCTTCACAGCCTGGTTAATGCCTTCCCCTGCAGTGTAAAGCTAGTCTCCAGTTTCGGCCACAACTGAGGCAAAAATGTATGTTGCTAAGTGAGATATTTGTTAAGTGAGTTCTGCCCCATTTTACAACTTTTCTGGCCACATGTGTTAAGTGAATCACTGCAGTTGTTAAATTAGTAACACCGTTGTCAAGCGAATCTGGCTTCCCCATTGACTTTGCTTTGCCAGAAGAACACAAAAGGTGATCACGTGACTTCCAGACATTACAACCATCATAAATATGAGCCAGTTGTCAAGCATCCGAATATAAATCACATGACCATGAGGGGCCACAACAGTCATAAGTGTGAGAAACAGTCATAAGTCACTTTTTTTCAGTGCGGTTGTAATGTTGAACGGTCACTAAATGATCTGTTGTAAATCAAGGATGACCTGTATAGCTCATACTGAGAACACCAGGGATTAAGTGAAGATCACTCTTTTCAATATAAGTCAATATGGCTGCCATAAGGGGCATTCATGGAAGCTTAAGTCAAACTTTCTTTGGGAAAAGCTCAATTCCTGGTAACTTCATTGATATACCACCATACTTTTCTTAGAAATGATTTGCCAAGAAATGGTTGGCATCTGCCTCCTTCCCATTCTAGCCTACAACCCTCAGATATCCTGGTGGTCTCCCATCCCTTAATCACCAGATCTGACTTCTTTAATGTTTCTTAGTTGGATTATTGCCAGCTTCGTGTAATTAGTTAATGTAATTTCATTGGCGACAGTATAAAAATGATTGGCCGTTCTCTTCTTCCAGGGTGTTCATTTGATTTCTAAAACTTCCTAACAGTAAGAACAATTAATCAGTGGAACAACTTGCCTCTGGAATTTGTGGGTGCTTCATCACTGGAAATTTTTAAGAATTTTTTTAAAAAAAAAATTGTCTGAAATGGTATAGGATCTCCTGCATGAGCAGGGGGTTGGACTAGAAGACCTCCAAGGTACCTTCCAGCTCTATTCTGATTGATTGATTGATTTCCTAGTAGTCTTTTATCCAAGTATTAACCAGGTTTAATCCTGCTTAATTAAAAATTAGCCAAGGTCAGCTAGGTCCTGCCATTAGTTGAGGTCCAAGGAAGCTGAATGCTGAGGTTAGCAGTCCTCTTTCACACCTCTGTTCTAGTAACGTTGGGAAACATCAGTTGTATCATTAAATCTGCAGACAAAAATCCAGATTTTTTTTTAAAGCTTAAAAACAGGTACTGCCTCTAGTACAGGTAGTCCTCAACTTATGACCACAATTGAGTCTGAAGTTTCCGTTGCTAGGAGTTGAATGAGTTTTGCCCCTTTTTACAACCTTTTCTTGCCACAGTTATCACTGTAGTTCTGTAGATAGTAACAGGATTGTTAGAGGAGTCCCAGGATACCGCAACTGTCATAAATATGAGTCGGTGGCCAACTGTCTGAATTCTGATCACATGATGACAAGGATGCTGCAATGGTCGTAAGTATGAAAAGTGGTCAAAGGTCACTTTTTCAGTGCCGTTGTAACTTTGAATGGTCACTAAATGAATGGTTGTAAGTTGAGGACTACTTGTACCGTACAGGGTTTTTTTCAACAATGCAGCTCCCAAAATTCAACTCCTAGCATGCTGACTAGGGAATTCTGGGAGTTGAAGTCCACATTTCTTAAAGTTGCAGAGGTTGGGAAACACTGATCTAGTATGTCAAACCCGAAGGAAACCAGACATCCTGGTAAAATGGAGCTCCCTGCCAGAGCCTTACTGAGGAGGAAGATTCTGTCAAAGGTCCTCAAGAGGGCCAGGAAAACAAGAGGGAATGGAACGAAATAGAAATAATAGAAATAGAAGAGACCTTGGAGGTCTTCTAGTCCAGCCCCCGGCTCAAGCAGGAGAACCTATAGGTCCTATTCCATCTCAGACAAGTGACTGTCCAGTCTCTATTTAAAAACCTCCAGTGATGAAGCACCAACAACTCCTGGAGGCAAGCTGTTCCACTGGTTAATTGTCCTCCCTGGTAGGTTTCTCCTTAAAGGAGTCCCATACCTCCCCAGTGTAGTGACAAAAACAGAAATGTTCTCTCGTTTGACAAATCCTCTAATCCAGACATGTCAAACACAAGACCCAGGGGCCGGATGCGGCCCGCGAAGTGGTTTCATGTGGCCCGCAAAGCCATCCTGGAAACAGTGAGGGAATGGCCCCCGCTGCCTTGGCCCTGGCCCAGGCCGGCCGGGAGGGAGCCAATGTACACTTTTGTGGTGGCCATCTATGCTGAAATGCATTCAGTCTTAGCTCCATAAGCCCCCCCACCCCCCCACATGGCCTGAGAGGAACAGTGAGGCTCCTCCAGTGGACCATGCCTTGGCACTTGCCCCGGTCCCACCCCCTTCTGCCAGAGACCCTCAGATCTGTCCCACTCCTGCCCAGGCCCCCACAGGCACCCTTGACCCGAATGATGTAGAGCTGGCCACGCCCACCCAGTAGGCCACACCCACCCCATCCATGCCCAACCAGTNAGAGGAACAGTGAGGCTCCTCCAGTGGACCATGCCTTGGCACTTGCCCCGGTCCCACCCCCTTCTGCCAGAGACCCTCAGATCTGTCCCACTCCTGCCCAGGCCCCCACAGGCACCCTTGACCCGAATGATGTAGAGCTGGCCACGCCCACCCAGTAGGCCACACCCACCCCATCCATGCCCACCCAGTAGGCCGCACCCACCCTGGCCACACCCACCCGGCCCCCTGAGGGCAACCACAATGCTAATGCGGCCCTCAATGAAATTGAGTTTGACACCCCTGCCCTAATCTTTACCAGAAGAGGAGATACATTCAGTGACCCATTAGTTATGTGTGTGTTTATGTCTGTTTCCTAATAGCCCTTTGCTATATAGGTAGTCCTTGACTTACAACAGTGTGTTTAGTAACCGTTCATTATGGCCATTTTTCACACTTATGACCGTTGCAGCATCCCTGTGGTCACGTGATTTAGATTTGGATGTTTGACAAGTGGTTCACATTTATGACGGTGGCAGCGTCCCAGGGTCAGGTGATCCCCTTTTGCGACCTTCTGACAAGCAAAGTCAGTGGGTCAGCCAGATTCACTTAACAACAACAGTGTTACTGATTCGACAACTGAAGTGTTTCGCTTGGCAAATGTGGCAAGACAAGACGTAAAACGAGGCAAAACTCACTTAATAAATTTCTCGCTTAGCAACATAAATTTTGGGCTCAATCGTGGTCATACATTGAGGGTGATCTCTGGCTTGTTTTAAAGATTGACCCCTCCAGCTTGCATTTGCAACTGCAGTAGCAAATTTAGTTGTTAAGACAACTGACCCGTTCATCCATCGAACTCTGGACCATGGTGCAACTCGGGGTTTTCAAGCGTAGCCTTTCCCAAGACATTTTTCTGTCAAAGGCTGGGATGTTATTTAATGCCTAGAGGACATTATGCTTGGATCCTTGTTTTGGCAGCAGCTGGACAAGTCCTAAGAGTTTTTCCAAGATGTAGAAACCTCCATTTGGCAGCAGGCTCGGGTCAAGAATCATCTTCAGAGACAACTCATTTGCCACAAATCCATTCTTTTTTGTCGGCTTGGACTCACTGTGGAACCCAAACTTTCCATTGCTAAGTAAGACAGTTGTTAAGTGACTTTAGTCCCATTTTACTCGCCACAATTGTGAAGTGAATGCAAGTTAGCAACCCAGTTGTTAAGTGAATCCGGCTTCCCCATTGACTTTTCTTGTCAGAAGGTTGCAAAAGATGGTCACATGACCCAGGGATACGGCAACGGTCATAAATATGACTTTTTTTCAATGCCGTTGTGACTTCAAACGGTCACTGAACAAATGGTGTAAGTTGAGGACTACTCAACTTACACCCACTTACAAAACACCCACATTTTGACGCTGCAATGGTCATAAATGCATAGAGCAGTCATAAGTTCTTTTTTTAGTGCTGACTTTGATTTAAGAACGCATTGCTTTTGATTGACATGATGGGAAGGAAACACAGAATCTGCATCTCATACTCATGGCTATATTTTCTCCCTCTCTCCCTCCCTCTCTCTCTCTCTCCCCCTCCCTCCCTCCCTCCCTCTTTCTTTCTTTCTTTCTTTCTTTCTTTCTTTCTTTCTTTCTTTCTTTCTTTCTTTCTTTCTTTCTTTCTTTCTTTCTTTCTTTCCCTAGGGATGTGAAAGCTGGCAATATCCTACTGGGAGAAGATGGGTCAGTCCAGATTGCCGGTGAGTATCTACCAAATCTTTGGAAGGAGCCCAAACAAAAGCAGAGCTCTGGATTGTCTGACTTAAGTTGACACGTGTCTCCTTTCCCAATTTGGGGGGAGGGAAGAGAATTTACCAGAGTTGGGCGGCATGAAAGGATTTTCCATGTAAAAATTCCCAACCGCTCAATCTAAATTCAGCGGTGGTTATTTTGAGACTGTGCTTTATTAGCAGGACATCACCTAGAGAAACATATTTGCCGTAGCCCTTTTGTCTTTTCTCCTTTTTCTACACCCCATTTGTGCCTCAATTTCCTTTTGGTGAATTTGGAATAGGTTGAGGGATTTTGTGCATTCGTGTTTTCTTCGGTTGGTGTGGAGGACTGCACTGCACTCCTTAGCTTCTGCTATACTAATTTACAGGCCACACACAACTCTTTATTTCTATAGAGGCCCGTAATTCCTGGCTTTCCACTCTTGCTCTCTGTCATTTAAACCGGCGGTCCCCAACCCCCAGACCGTGGCCCACTACCGGGCCATGACTTATTCGCAGCTAAGCCATGTAAGCGGTGGGCCAGTGCACATAAGTGCATGCAGCTTGACTCGTGTGAGCAGTGGGCCGATGTGCCCATGCATGCGCACGCAGCTCAACTTGCAGTCCAGCTGTGTGTGCATTTGCGTGCGGGCCGTCCCACCGCTCACTTGAGACGAACTGCACGCATATGTGCACTGGCCTGCTATGCCCCTCCTCCTCCCAGCCGGGGCGCCAAGCAGCAAAGGTTGGGGAATGCTGATTTAAACAAGGTTTGTTAGAGAAGGGAGCCCTGCTGTTGTTTGGCTGTGTGGATGTAGGATGCTTGAGCAAAATCCCAACTGAAATGGAAAACGGTTTGGATGGAGGGCGGTCTTCTGCAGAGTATGAGAAGTTCAGACTTTGCTTATCTTCTCCCTGGAAGAGAGGGGAAGGCAAACTATAGCGGAAAGAAAAAAGGGGGTCTGATGTTGGAATCCTGGATTCGAATCTTGCCTTTGCTAATGGCTCCAAGTGCTGTTGGATTGATATTCTTTCTATGCTCATGATTCTCTTAGTTAAGAGATTATTCCAACCAAAGAATGGAGATGTCTCAGTTTCTCATTTAAACTGGTTGGATTGGTTCAGGTTGAACCAGTTGGGTAAAGCTAAAGCCATTTTAAATAGCCCCAAGGTAGATGAGTAAGAATTTCGAACGCTATTAAGTGGTCAGTTGAAAGTCAAGGACTGCCTGCAGGAAAAATATAATTGCCTGTTGGACTTCTTCCTCTCCTCTGAACAAATGATACTATTTCCTGCCCAAGTAGAAGTACAAAATCTCATGTCACCTTAGAGTCATGTCCGAACCCAGCCATTGGGACTTGCAAATCGTGGCTTGCAATGTTCTGTTTTGTGTGACCTGGAGCCTCAACCATGTTAAGATGTGTGGACTTCAATTCCCAGAATTCAACTCCCAGCAACCTCTCTGCAGAATTCTGGGAGTTGAAGTCCACACATCTTAAGGTTCTGAGGTCAAGCAATTTGGACTTAGATCCTCGTGGCTTATTCAACAAACCATGGTTAAAACAGGCCTGTTGCCCTGTTGCATGTCTGAGTATTCCAAGGTAGGCCCATAAAAAAATAACAGGAAACAAGGTAGAATCCTGGTCTCCCTCAGGACATTCTGATCTCTGTTTCACAATCATTTTCCTGTTTGCTTGCACCTACTTGCTTGCTCGTATTTCAGATGGAAGTGCATTTTTTCCCCCAGATAAAAACTGGGAAGAATTTGTAAGATGACCAGTCTGGGTCAGTCTCTGAATTTCCTGGAAATCCATCCAGGACAGCATATTGGCAGATGTAAAAACAAGCTTGGGAAGAGAAATACAATACTCGCATTCCTTTCATATCTTGTGGTTTAGATTTCTCTCTTCCCATCAACAGGTGGAGCAGATTCGACAACAACTAAAGCAACACAAAAGCAAGGGTTTCAGAACAGTCAGAATATTGTTTTGTTTTGTTTTACTATATAATATATATATATTATTTTGTTTTATTATTTTATTCTTTTAATTTTATTCTTTTATTATTTTACAAATAACTCAAGGCAGTGAACATACCTAATCCTTCTTCTTCCTCCTGCTGTTTTCCCCACAACAACTCTATGGGTTGGGCTAAGAGAGAAGGACTGCACAAAGTCACCCAGCTGGCTTTCATGCCTAAGGCAGGACTAGAACTCACCATCTCCTGGTGAGTGGCCCAAAGTCACCCAGCTGACTTTCATGCCTAAGGTAGGACTAGAACTCACCGTCTCCTGTGGATTGTCTCAAAGTCACCCAACTGGCTTTCATGCTTAAGGCAAGACTAGAACTCACTGTCTTCTGGTGATTGGCCCAAACAGCCAATCTTTCCCCTTATAAATATGTGATCATATTTGAGGGCTTGGCAACTGACCCACATTCAACCCTGTCTGCAGAGTCTTGCAGTCACGTGGCTGCAATTTATAATTTTTTTTTGCTGTAAACTGACATTTACTTCCAGTTTCTGCAAAAAATCTTACATTGCCTAAAATGGGTTTGCTTAATGACTGACAGAAAGGAGCTAGTTAAATTGGGTGCTGTCATGTGACCTGCCTAACATTGGCGAAACTTATAAGCGTAAATCCAGGTTCCATTATGGTCGTAAGTCGAGGACCGTAAATGTTTTCTTGACCTTGGCAGCTTGGAAGAGATAGATGGATGGATGGATGGATGGATGGATGGATCAATGGATCGATCGATCGATGGATCGATGGACGGACGGACGGACAGTGAGCTGATCTTTGGCCAAAGGAAGTGCCAGTATTAACTGCAAAGATTGATTGTGGTTTGTGACCTTTATAGACTGAATTGCACAAGAGATACAATGCACCTATTGGTAAACTTGTTAGAAATCCATGGTTTTATTTTAAAATGTAATTTAATTATGTTCCAAGTCTTAAAAGATGGGTAAACTTGTTAAAGATCCCTGGTTTTGTTAAAAATGTGATTTAGCTGCATTCTCACCCTCAAAATACCCCAAGGTATTCTAAAAAGATTTACTGTCCTTCGCAATCACAGTCTCTCTTTAGGCTATGGAGAATGAGCAAAGGTTGACGGGAAGATATTTATCAATTTGGTGATATTTTCTTGCTTAAGATGAAAAAAAAGAAAAAGAAAAGAAGAAAACCCCAGAGGCTTAATTGATGAAATTCAGAGGTCACAAATCTCGGCCTGCATTTAGCAATTTTCAAGCATCCAGAATATGCTCTGCACAATGGTTCAAATTGCTAAACCCAATTCCTCTAATTCCATGATTGACCTTGCAAGAATTCAAGAAGCTGAAACCCTCACATCTGTTGTCGTCCCCAAAGATTGGGGAGGGTGTGCTAAGCTGTCCACCAACATGCCACAAGATAGCATCACCCTACGTGTGAAACTGCCAGATTTTCCCGTCAAAATCACCTTGTTGTTTTATTGCGCAAGGAAAGCGGAAACACAAACCTGCTTCTCTAGGAGCAAGGATGAGATTTGTAAAAACAAAAAAAAAGCCCTTCAGATAGTCCTTCACTTACAACCATTCATTTACCGGCCATTTGAAGTTACAACAGCACTGAAAAAAGTGACTTACAACCAGTCCTCACACTTACGACCATCACAATATCCCCACGTTCACATGATCCTAATTCAGGCACTTGGTAACCGGCATGTATTTACAATGATTGCAGCATCCTGGGTTCATGTGATCACCATTTGCAACTTTCCCAGCTGGTATCCAACAAGCAAAGTCAACATGGGAAGCCTGATTTGCTTAACAACCATGTGATTCCTTTAACAGCTATGATTTACTTAAGAGCTATGGCATAAAAAGTCCTTAAAATTGGGTATAATTCACTTAACAACCATCTTGCTTAGCAATGGAAAATTGTAGGTAACTTTTTTCAGTGACATTGTAACGTTGAATGGTCTCTAAAAGAATAGTTGTAAGTCAAGGACTGCCTGCACAGGTAGTCCTTCACTTACGACCACAATTGAGCCCCAAATTTCACTTGTTAATTGAGTTTTGCCCCATTTTATGACTTTTCTTGCCACCGTTGTTAAGTGAATCACTGCAGTTGATAAATTAGTACCCTGGTTGTTAAGTAAACCTGATTTCCCCATTGACTTTGCTGGTCAGAAGGTTGTAAAAAGTGATCTCATGATCCTGGGACATAGCAAAGGTCATAAATATGAACCAGTGGCCAAGCGTCTGAATTTTGATCATGTGACCGTGGGAGATGCTGCAAAGGTCGTAACTATGAAAAATGCTCATCATTTTTCAGTGCTGTTGTAACTTTGAACGGCCACTAAATGAACTGTTGTAAATCGAGAATGACCTGTATTCTAACATAGCTACATAATCTGTACTCTTGGTGACTGGTTTTATGTCCTTTTTCTCTCGACATTCGTGTTCTTTGGTGTAATGTGCACTGATGATTACGCAACTATGAGATAGTTGCAACTGAACAGGCATCTGATTCCATGAAAGAAATCACATGGCCTAGTGGGAGAAGATGCTGGGTCAGGAGTGGGGAGATCTGGGTTCGAGTTCCCCCTCAGCCTGAGAGGTTCCCAGGGGGAATTCTGAGTCCGGCACTTTCCTCCCCATTTATATTGCAGGGGGGGAAAGGGGGCAGAAGGAAGTATTACACAAGTAGTCCTTGACTTAACAATAGTTCATTTAATGACCGAAGTTATAATGGCACTGAGAAAAGCGACTTATCACCGTTTTTCACACCATTGCAGCACCCCCAGGGTCATAAGATCAAAATTCAGACGCTTGGCAACTGACTCATATTTATGACAGTCTCAGCGTCCCACGTATCACGTGATCCCCTTTTGCCACCTTCTGACAAGAAAAGTCAATGAGGAAGCCTGATTCACTTAACAACCGTGTTGCTAACTTAACTGCAGTGATTCACTTAACAAATCTGGCAAGAAACGTTGTAAAATGGGGCAAAGCTCACTTATCAACCATCTTGCTTAGCAGTAAAAATGTTGGGCTTGGTTGTGGTCATAAGTGAGGACTACCTAAAGCAGTGGTGGCGAACCTATGGTACGGGTGCCAGAGGCGGCACTCGGAGCCCTCTCTGTGGACACACGTGCTGTTGCCCCAGTCTTGCCTCCACCCACGATCTCCTCCTTACTAGCAGCCCCCCTGGAGGAGAGTCACTTCCAAGCGTGGCCCACATGGAGCAGCGCAGCCGAGGACATGGCAGCCAGGCAGCATGGACCACACTCTGCCCTCACGCCCCATGGTGCACAGTTGATACTGTGGGGTGCGGGCAGAGGGCGTGGCCACCATGGCGCTGCTGGGCTGCCTGGGCGATCTGTGGTGGGCCCTGGAGGCAGTAAGTGGCCCTGTGGGCAGGCGGGGCGGGAGACGGGATGGGGCCGGGGCAGGGGCGGGACCAGTTTTGGGCACTCGGTCTCTAAAGGTTCGCCATCACTGACCTAAAGGCATAGCCATGGGCTCCTGAACAAAGAGGCAGGATATAAATCTAGCCTATATAAATGTGGAAATTTACCTGACGTAAGGCAGAGAACCAGTGGTAAACTCCACAGCGGTGGCCTGAAAGTGTTAGTTGTGCTACAAAGTAATGGTAATTATAGTTAAAAACAACTGGGAAATGATGGGAATTGTGTTCAGACAAATCTGGAAAGTAGCAAAGCCAATCCAGAGGGTAATTTTCAATTCAGGCCCTCTTTCATGGCTGAAATAATTCTCTGACATTTCTCTAAATGCCGATATATATTTTTTTCGAAATCCCTCTGCAAATTCTTATGCCATTTATCTTCACAAGCATGTTCTTCATGTCAGCTGCCTCCTTATCGCTGCTATGCGGTGACAGACTGCCATGAACTGGGGAGGGGGAAGGAAGGGGGAATGCTTCGGGAAACGAAAGCAAGAGCTGTATCTCCTTGAGAAGCTGCCTCAAGGTCATCCAGCTGGGAAAGAGGGGGCCACATACCAACCTGTACTTGAACTGATCGTTAGGAATGGCTGGAAAAGATAACTAAAATACATATAGAATTTAGGCCAGAATTGTTTCTGCTAGGAATATTAGGAGCTAATTATGGGAAAGAGAACGAGTATTTAATATTACATATATTGACAGCTGCGAGAATAGCAATTGCCCAATACTGGAAAAATGAAGATATACCATCTGACGAGATTATAATTAGGAAAATTTTAGAATGTGGAGAAATGGATAGATTAACGTTAGAGATTAAAGAGAAAGAAGACTCAGTCTATTATAAAACATGGGAAAACTTTTTATCAATGGTTAGCAAAATGAGATAACGAAATTGAAATTTATTAAGATGATTTATTTTTTCTTTTGATTAATTGATATGCTTTATAATTTCTGTTATTCTTGTTGATTACAGTTACTGATTATTATATTAGCCCTAATGAATACTTGTATATGGACGATACCCTAAACCAGTGTTTCTCAACCTTGACAATTTTAAGGCATGTGGACTTCAACTCCCAGAATTCCACAGCCAGCAATGCTGGCTGTGGAATTCTGGGAGTTGAAGTCCACATGCCTTAAAATTGTCAAGGTTGAGAAACACTGCCCTAAACCCTTCCCTGAACCCTACCCCGAATCCCACTACCCATAATGATCCTTGTCCTTCCCTACCCTGAAAAAAACTTAATAAAATATTATTTTAAAAAAAGGAAAACATATTTTCTGAACCTGGTTGATTACACTGGGGTGGGCAATGGGAGACAGTTAAGGGAGAGAAAAGTAGAACTTAGGGATTTGGGCACGTGATTTTTAGTTCTGGTTTTGAACTATTGCAGTACATTTGATCTCTAATAAACTAAACCTTTCTCAACAAATGGAGCCAAGGATAATTTTTATTTAGAGGTTTAAGTTGTGACAGATCCGGCACTTCTTTTATCTTCTAAAAATCCATAAAGGAAAACTGAAGTTCAGTATAATCAGTGTGCTGTGGTAATTTCACGTAATAACTTAAACTGTACGCCTTGCATGTGTGGCAGATAACAGAGTTGACTTTTCCTTTTCGTTAGAACAATAACATCTTCATAATTTTGTACATAATCTGAGAAAATGTGACATTGTAGAAACCTTGTGACTGGATGCCTGGAGGACATGCATGACTCCCAACTAATTTCTCGTTCAGTCAGGGTGGAAATGAAGGACATGTAGACACTTGCACTAATTCTGCAAATTTTATGAAAGCTTTTGTAGTATAAGTAGTCCTCAACTTACAGCCACAATTGAGCCCATAGCTAAGCGAGATAGTTGTTAACTGAGTGCTGCCATGTTTCACGACCTTTTTTGCCACAGTTGTTAAGTGAATCACTGTAGTTATGTAGTTAGTAACAGGCGTTAAGTGAATCTGGCTTCCCCAGTGACTTTGCTTGTCAGAAGGTTACAAAAGGGGATCACATAACCCTGAGACACTGCAACTGTATTAATACCTGCCAGTTGCCATTGAATTTTGATCATGTGACCATGGAGATGTTGCAATGGTTGTAAGTATGAAAAAGGGGCATAAGTTTCAACAGTCATCTCCCTCTCCCTACAGTTAGGCTCCATTACGGTTGTAACTTGAAGACTGTTGTACTTGTTATTGGCTAGGCCTAGGTAGGAATAAGAAACTATACCCAGATCAACAGTCTTACATTTGGCCATTGCGTGCCTTCCAGCAAGCATTTCAATCTTTGCAATCACAAGGACATTTCTACATGTGGTATATGCTAACGGCCTTGATCTTGATGACTTGTACTATTTATTGTTTATTTTCTTAATTTTCATTTTTAGTTTCATGATTCCAAGTCACGGGTAGGGAATACGGCCCTTTTATAATTTGTGGACTTCAACACCCAGAGGAATTCTGGGAGCTGAAGTCCATAAGTCATATAGGGGCTTAGTTCCCCACCTCTGTTCTAAGTCATAGCTTTCGCTTTTTTAAACAAAAAACAAACAAACAAACCCCATGCCAATAGAGAATGCTTCTTTTTTAACCTCTTCTTTTTCTATTTTGTGTTTTGGTGTTCAGATTTCGGCGTAAGTGCTTTCTTAGCTACCGGTGGGGACATAACACGGAACAAAGTGAGGAAAACCTTTGTGGGCACCCCTTGCTGGATGGCCCCCGAAGTGATGGAGCAGGTAAGAATAAAGAGAATAGAATAGAACAGTGGTGGCGAACCTATGGCACGGGAGCCAGAGGTGGCACTCGGAGCCCTCTCTGTGGGCACACGTGCCATTGCCCCAGCCTCGCCTCCCCCACGACCCCCTCCTCACCAGCAGCCCCCCTGGAGGAGAGTCGCCCCCGAGCGTGGCCCACACGGAGCAGGGCAGCCAAGGGCATGGCAGCCACGCAGCGTAGACAAGACTCTGCCCTCATGCCCCATCCCGCACAGTTGATACTGCGGGGTGCGGGCAGAGGGCATGGCCGCCATGGTGCTGCTGGGCTGTCTGGGCAATCTGCGGTAGGCCCTGGAGGCGGTGAGTGGCCCTGCGGGCAGGTGGAGTGGGGGACGGGGTGGGGGTGGAGCAGGGGCAGGGGGTGGAGTGGGGGTGGGGCCAGTTTTGGGGCACTCGGTCTCTAAAAGGTTCGCCATCACTGGAATAGAATATCCTTTATTGGCCAAGTGTGATTGGACATACACACATACAAGGAATTTGTCTCTGGTGCATCAGCTCTGAATCACTGAAGTTGTTAAGTTAATAACAAAGTTGTTAAATGAATCTGGCTTCCCCCATTGATTTTGCTTATCAGAAGGTCACAAAAGGGGATCACTCGACCCCGGGGACACTGCAGCTGTCATAAGTACATGTCAGTTGCCAAGCGTTCTAATTTTGATCCCATGACCACAGAGATGCTGCAACGTTTGTCAGTGTGAAAACGTTCAAAAGTCACTTTTTTCAGAGCTGTTGTAACTTTGAACGGTCACTAAATGAATGATTCTAAATTGAGGACTCCCTGTAAAACTCTACAGAACATTTATCTGTTTAAGAAACAACTTTTACTTTATGAGAATGAGTTTCCTTTGGAAGAATTTTTTTACATTGTTCTAGGTCTGTTTCTTCCCAGTCTTCCAGCGATGGCTGAAACAATAACCTATTGACCATTGTAAAGGCCAGGGCAGGGGTGGGATTGAGATTGTGAAATTGCCTGAGAAGAAGGCCATTGTTTAGCCATTAACTGAGTGACCCCTGTGCACGTCACATCTTTCCCAGTTAACAAAGTTTTGCTTCAGTCGATGTAAATGCCTGTGGACACAAGAGGGAGCAGTTGGTATGCGCAGAGACAGAGGCAAGTTTAAAATGCAGGCTTAAAGACCCCCATTCAAATGACAATTCAGAATACTGTACAATTAGTCCTCAACTTACAACCACAATTGAGCCCAAAATTTATGTTGCTAAATTAGATAGTTGTTAAGTGAATTTTGCCCGATTTTACGACCTTTCTCGCCAGAGTTGTTAAGTGAATCACTGCAAGTTGTTGAGTTAGTAAATGAATCTGGGTTCCCCGTTGATTTTGCTTGTCACATGGTTGCAGAAAAAAATAAAGGGGAATCACATGACCCCAGGACACTGGAACTGCCATAAATATGAGTCAATTGGCCAGGGTCTGAATTTTGATGGAGTGAGTGACCATGGGGAGGCCGTAATGTGAAAAATGGCCCTAGGTCACTTTTTTCAGTGCCACTTGAACGGTCACTAAACAAACTGCTGTAAGTTGAGGACTACTTGTAGTCCAAAGTAAGAAAGGAGTTCTGATGGAGAAGGATGCATCTCGAGCTGAACAAAACTGCTCTTTACATTCAGGATGAAGAGCAGAGCCTTGCTAAAAACCAGATTGTACTAAGCCAAGGAACATTGAATGGATTCCGATTTCAAAAATGAGTTATCTTTTCTCATTTCTTCCAGGAGGAGATTGGGGCCTAGACCTGATTGCAGTACAGGCAGTCCTCAACTTATGACTGGTTGCTTAGTGACCATTCAAAGTTATGCTGGACCTCCACCCACTTATGACCTGATTCAGAAGTCCATCACCCCCCCCCCCAGTTTTCTGATTGCATTTTGGGTGCTCAGCAACTGGCCCACATTTATGCTGTTTGCAGCATTCTGCTGTCATGTGATTATGATTTGTGGCATTTTTGTTGAAACCTGGCATTTCCAATTTTCGGCCAAAACATCCCATAGCAAACAAAAAGTTTGCTTAACAACCACAGATGCATTTAACAACCATGGTGATTTTCTTAGTGGCCACTACAAAACAGGTTGTAAAGTCGACCCACTTTCTAACCATCATGGTCTTAAGCTAAGGACTATCTATAGAAAGTTTGTGCTCCAACTTTTCTCAACTGGATGTTTTCTGTATGTACAGGTAGTCCTCGACTTACAACAGTTCATTTAGTGACCGTTCGAAGTTACAACGGTACTGAAAAATGGCACTGATCATTTTTCACCCCTACGACCATTACAGCATCCCCACGGTCCTGTGATCAAAATTCAGATGCTTGGCAACTGACTCATGTTTATGACGGTTGCGGTGTCCCGGGGTCATGTGATCCTCTTTTGCGAACTTCTGACAAGCAAAGTCAATAGGGAAGCCGGATTCACTTCACGACCATGTTACTAACTTAACAACTACGGTGATTCATTTAATAACTGTGACAAAAAAAGGTCGTAAAATCAGGCAAAATTCATAACAACTGTCTTGTTTAGTAACAGAAATTTGAGACTCAGTTGTGGTCGTAAGTTGAGAACTACTTGTATTTGACCATAATTGTCATTGCCCTCAGCCACAGCCATAGTCATCCAACATCCAGGAGGGTTTGCAGAACCAATCACGGGCTGTAATTAATTGGCCGAGACTAAGAGAGCCATATTTCAGACAATCGTTCGTGATAGCTTGCTGCAAACTTGGATTTAGAACAAGATGCATGCACGAAACGGGAGCCTGAATACCGTCTTTCCCTGAAAATAAGTCCCAGCTGGAAAATAAGCCACAGCATGATTTTTCAGGATGCTTGTAATATAAGCCCCAACCCAAAAATAAGCCCCATTTAAGATGGTCAGCCAGACGAACGCATTTAGTACCGTAATTCCCTGAATATGAACCCTAACCGTAAAATAAGTCCTAATGCAGTGAGGTTAACCTTTTAGAGACCGAGTGCCCAAACTGCAACCCAAAACCCACTTATGCATTGTCGAGTGCCGGGTAGGTGTGGCCCATTGGGTGGGCGTGGCTGCGGTGGTAATGGCAGACTGGGTGGGATTAAAAAGTTCAATCAATCAATTCCAACTTTGCAAGATCTTTTTTTTTCCCGCAAGAGGTTGAAATTGACTGATTGATTGAACCTTTTTTTTTTTTTGCACATGGTGGCGGAGGCCTAAAGTGAAAAGGTTTTGTAAAACCCATCTGAAGGCCTAGGACTGGGGCGATGGCGTGCATGCCCACAGAGAGGGCTCTGAGTGCTGCATCTGGCACCCATGCCATAGGTTTGCCACCACTGTCCTAATGTGTCTTTTGGAGCAAAACTTAATATAAGACCCGGTCTTATTTTTCCGGAAAACACAGTAGCTATGTGAATTTTCAAACCATCATTATGAACTTAACATTTTCTGTCATTCATTCACTATGTACCTTAACTATTTCTGTGAGAATCAGTCCTGGAATTTGTTCAGGAAGTTTGCCAGTCTAACTTTACAATAAAGATAAGGCTTTGGTTCTTGGTTCCTCCCTGTTCAGAATGGAAATAACCTTTGTGGTTGACATCTCGCTTTGCAACCACTTCACTTAACGACTGAAACTCTGTTCCCAATTGTGACAAGTTGAGGACTATTTGTATTCTGGGAAGCTAAAATCTCTTTGCTTTGGAAGAATTGGTTCAGCTTCAAGTGCAATTCTGAGTTAACAAGACAGCAGGATTCAGTGAAATTTGCAGAGTACATGATTTTTCAATACATCCAAGCGTTAGTTTAGTCCTCTCATTTGACTAAAGTCCTTGTAAAAATTTTACTCATGTGAAGAAGAATACAAATTGTGCTATTTTCAGGAGTTGGGTGAGAAATTAGAAGTCTGTTTTAGGTGCCAGATCATAAATAAATGCCTGGAAGGGATTGGTGAAGGAAGGTTAGCTCCCAAGCATGATTCAGGCAAGATAAGGCATGGAATTGGAACAGCTCCTATGATAGAAATGCCCATTTTGAAACGAACTTTTCTTACAATGCAGGTGCGGGGGTATGATTTCAAAGCAGATATTTGGAGTTTTGGAATTACAGCAATCGAGTTGGCTACCGGAGCTGCTCCTTATCACAAATACCCACCCATGAAGGTAAGTTACAGATGTACCAATTCAGATAAACAATTTGACATGAAGTGCCTGCATACAGTCTGAAAAATCGGATTGACCCCGCCTAGAAAACGTTATTTCTGATGTAACTCACCATCTCATGTTCTCTAACCTGGCACCTTAGCCACTAGATAGACCAAACGGTCTATATAGATGTCAGGATCCAGGACTAACTCAGGTACAAAAAAGGGACAGCAGTTTTCCAGTTTTTTACTTCCCCATTGTATGAGCCCACATATACATATCTTATACCAGAAGCAACTGACATAATTCTGAGCACAGTACAGCCAATTCAAAACGTTCCTCAATGTTTCTAACGGATGCCATTTTTTCAGGTCTTAATGTTGACACTACAAAATGATCCCCCCTCCTTGGAGACAGGAGTGCAAGACAAAGAGATGCTTAAAAAATACGGGAAGTCATTCAGGAAAATGATTTCATTGTGCCTGCAGAAAGACCCGGAAAAGAGGTACAGGCAGGACCATCTCAACTTCTCCCTTCTCTCTCTTTTTTAAAATTTATTTATATGACTTACACTTCCCTTTTCTGCCCATTGACGCATATAAATGCACACAAGTTGCCACACCTGAACATACAGGGACAAGTTTAAAATCTGATAGGAACAGCTAACATGCCCTGTTAAAATGGATTGAAAAGACCTGGCAAAACAGGTCCTTTCCTATAAGCAGCAAGAAAGTAGACTTTGAGTCCAACATGTATTTTTTTATATATGGAGTCCTCAACTTACAACAGTTCATTTGGTGACCATTTGAAGTTACAACTGCACTGAAAAAAGTGACTTATGGCCGTTTTTCACACTTATGACCGTTGCAGCTTCCTTGGGGTCATGTGATTTACATTCGGATGCTTGGCTACTGGTTCACATGTATGACGGTTGCAGTGTCCCAGAGTCATGTGATCCCTTTTTGCAACCTTCTGACAAGCAGTCAGCGGGGAAGCCAGATTCACTTAACCACCGTGTTACTGACTTAACAACTGCAGTGGTTTGCTTAACAACTGTGACAAGAAAAGTCATGAAATGGGGCAAAACTCACTTAACAAATTTCTCATTAGCAACATAATTTTGGGCTCAATTGTGATTGTAAGCTGAGGACTACCTATAATTTATGAGCAGCCTAGAGGACAGTCTCTTGTATTGCTGGCAAAAGGATTTTGAAAATCGAGGACTTCTTTAAAAGAGCTCCTGCTTGTGAGCAGAATATCTAGATCAGGGCTTTTCAACCAGTGGTACGGGTACCACCTGTGGTACATTATCACCTGTCAGGTGGTACGCGACCATCCTAGAAAAGTGGTAGCAGGGGAGGGGAATGAGCTGAACCGGTGGCAGCACCGCACAAGCCTGAGCGAGAGACGGCTGGAGCTGCAGGGCTGTCAGGGCTCAGCGGAAGCACCAGGATCAGTGCCGCTTTCAAGCTGATCAGCGCTTCTTCGGGGCTGTCAGGGCTCAGTGGAAGCACCAGGATCAGCGCCAGGCTCCAGCTGGAGCTCGGCGCTGATCCTGGCACTTCCGCTGAGCCCAGAAGAAGCGCCGATGAGCTGGAATGTTGCAGCATCTCCAGGGTCTTGTGATTTACACTCAGATGCTTGGCAACTGATTCATATTTATGACAGTCACAGTGTCCCAGGGTCCTGTGAAGTGACCAAAACCTGCTGCAACCACCCAGCAGATGGGGGGAATAAAAACCAAACACCCCCCCCACCCCACCTCCGCTGCCAATCCCCAACAGAAATGCTCACAACGATGGAAACCTCGGACAGGAGGAAGAGCGTGGCCGGGGGGACAGGCAGGTGTCTTGCTCGGCTGTGGCTTGGGGGGCACTTTTTTCAGTGCCATTGTAACTTCGAACAGTCACTAAGCGAACTGTTGTAAGTCGAGGACTACCTGTACTTTATCACTTTTTTCCTTTTTTGGTCATCAAGTTTTTGACACCTTGCTAGGCGACTGGTGGTACTCAGATGTTGCCATATCCTAAAAGTGGTACAATGGGTGAAAAGGTTGAAAAGCCCTGATCTAAAGAAATTTATCCCAAGACAGGCAGTCAGTGTCTGTGGTCTGCAAATTCCCACATTGGACCTAGTATTCTGACTGCAAATCTAGGGAAGGAACCCGTTGCCCTTGGATTCTCCTTCTAGACAGCCCCAATAGGGAAATAGGGAAATGAAGGTAGAGCTGGAAGTTTGATACCTTACACAATTTTGATCGCCACAATTTAAAAAAGAAGTTGAGACTCTAGAAAGAGTGCAGAGAAGAGCAACAAAGATGATCAGGGGACTGGAGGTTAAAACCTATGAAGAACAGTTGCATGAATTGGGTATGTGTAGTTTAATGAAAAGAGGGACTGGGATAACATGAGAACAGTCTTCCAATATCTGAGGGGCTGCCACAAAGAAGAGGGAGTCAACCTATTCTCCAAAGCACCTGAAGGCAGGACAAGAAGCGACCTAGAATTAAGGAGCAATTTCCTGACAGCACAATTAATCAGTGGAATGATTTGCCTGCAGAAGTTGTGGGTGCTTCATCACTAGAGGTTTTTTAGAAGAGATTGGACAACGCTTTTGTCTTAAATGGGATGGGGTTTCCTGCTTGAGCAGGGAGTTGGACTAGATGACCTCCAAGGTCCCTTCCAACTCTGTTATTCATTAGGCTGTGCTGTATGCAGTTGAAATGATAATGTCATCTTATAATGCGCACCGTGTTTAAAAGCTATTGCAGAATTTCTGTGGCTTTGTGCAATAGGATTTTCTGTGTGCAACCAGTTCAATACCGTTTTTATTGCATACAGTTCTGTGGTCCAGTGATCGTGGCTAGGAGGTTGAATTTGTATATTTGACTTTTGCACAGCTTCAAGTGGCCGAGATTGGGAAATAGATTAGGCTATAATAGCAGATATATTGACATCAATAGAAGAGAATATTTGTAGCTCAGGGTTAAACTAAGGTCGAATTGCAGACTGATAATGTTTCCTAGTTGGGTAATGAAATGTCTGCAGGGAAATATCCAAGCACAGAGATCAAAATATTGATAGCATTCCCCTGTTCCCTTCTCTTATCCCAAAAACATTCAGGAGAGAGAAGTTTTGAGGGGGTTTTTTTCCTCTCTCCTTCCTGTTTTTCTGGTGTAAGAAAATTACTATAGCTAACCTCCAAATCATCATTTCTACTACATAGCACATTTAAGCACAATCATCTAAATACAGGTAGTCCTCACTTACAACAGTTCATTTAGTGACTGTTCAAAGTTACAATGGCACTGAAAAGTGTGACTTGTGACTGTTTTTCACACTTTACGACCATTGCAGCATCCCCATGGTCATGTGATCAAAATTCAAACATTTGACAACTGACTCATATTTATGGTGGCTCCACTGTGCCAGGGTCATGTGATCATTTTTTGATACCTTCTGACAAGCAAAGTCAATAGAGAAGCCAGATTCACTTAACAACCATGTTATTAACCACTGCTGTGATTCATTTCACAAGTGTGGCAAAAAAGGTCATAAAATGGGGCAAAACTCATTTAACAAATTTCTCCCTTAGCAACAGAAATTAGGGACTTAATTGTGGTTATAAATCGAGGACTACTGATAGAGAAGTTCAAAAAGGGAAAGCAGATACCACAAGCAAAGAACTCCAGAGGATTATTGAGTGGGAAAGCACTGAGTAAGACAAACAAATAGATTATGATTGGCATTTGGAACTTCCTGCCACAGGATATTGTTTCACGTCCACTGATAACTGCCTTACTGATATTTTAGCGTATGTTAGTTTTCAATGTTTGTTTGTCTCTGGTTCAGACTTTCTGAGAACTGATGTTGAGAAGTAAAGTAAGATACTTTGTGAAATCAGTCTGGGCCAGAATAAAACAAGCTAAAACATTGTTCTAATAACAAAATCCATCATATTTTAAATACTTTTAAATATTTACATCTGCTCCAAGTAAAATTCTGTGCAAATACATAAAATAAGAATGTACGTATATATTATGCAGGAAATGCTTATCTCACTATTGTGCGTGATCACACAGGCTTGCTCATGGCTTCACTTTGCCAAAAACCACCATTTTTATTCAGAATTAATATCTCGCTTGTTTCTTTTTCTCTAATCTATGAATTGAAATGTACAAACTGTGGAAAGCAACATCTGTCCTGATTTGTGTTCTTATTGTGGGTGACTCTCCTATATGAAATAGAAAAGGTTCTTTTAAAATTCCTGCAATATACTACAGGTTTAAGAAACTCTTTTTTTTCTGTCCATAGACCTACAGCAGCTGAACTCCTAAGACACAAATTTTTCCAAAAAGCAAAGGTAGGATCCTTGACTGATGGAGTCATCTAACCAACTTGGATGTTGGAGAAATTTATTTATAGACAAGGAATAATCTTAATAATTTTTTTTACATTGTTGTAAGCTGCCCATAGCCACTTGATAGTGAGATGGGCGACATACACATTTTAATAATTTATCAGAGTTTTTCCCCAACTTCCGTCCACCCAATGACATGTTTGCTTCTCATTTAAGATCTGTTCTGATTTTGCTACCCACAAAAATGGTAATCCTTTAAGTGTGAAACTGTTCATGTTCCTTGATTCCCTTGAGTTCACCCTGGTTATTTTTGAGCCAGATTAACAGTTTGTTTAATCACTCCAAATACAACTGCTTTATGGTTCCGTTTTGTGCAACTTTAGTTTTTACTATGGTCTCTAGTGGAAAAAGAAAATAAAATCGCATGTCTTTGCATCTGCCCAGTGACAGAGCATGTCACTAATCACCTGGAGATTATGTTATTCTTTAATACATTGCCTTCTTAGCTCTTGTGTCAAAGGCATTTTTATTTAGTGTCATATAAACTAAAACATTTTTCTCTCTCTTTCCTTTGCAAAAAGCTGTAGGGGGAATATGCAGTATGAGTGCAGTAGAGTTGGGTGGCTGATCAATTCACTAAATAACAATGAACAGTAGCTTTCGAAGAGCGTAATTGTAAGAACTGATGGTTCCGTTCCTTTTTCTTTTGCAGAATAAAGAATTTTTGCAAGAAAAAATATTGCAGAGAGCCCCAACTATCACTGAAAGAGCCAGAAAGGTACAAAGTAAAGTGGAAATCCGCATAAAAATGGTTCTATACAATTTCTTGCAGCTTCTCATAGTGTACAGCTTGCCTGCAGCCTGAGAAACAGGGAGGATAATTCTGGCCGAGTTCACACATCTTAAATAAATTTAGTTCCTCCTGCTGTAAAAGCAGTTAGTCAGCATCCTTGGTAGGGATATAGTTACATCCAAGCTGAAATGGCAGGTGTGTGTCTCTGATAACAAGCGAGACAGTTGAGTTAAAAAACAAAACATTGGCTTCTGTTGTTAACTTGTTAGGTCAGTGTTTCTCAACCTTGACAATTTTAAGGCATGTGGACTTCAACTCCCAGAATTCCACAGCCAGCAATGCTGGCTGTGGAATTCTGGGTGTTGAAGTTCACATGCCTTAAAATTGTCAAGGTTGAGAAACACTGTGTTAGGTGAACTGCAAATATTCAGTATTCTTCCAAAGTTGTTTTTTTTTCCAAAAGGCAACTGGACTTTCTTGGTATTTTCTTTAAAAACATTTTGCTTCTCTTCCATTTACATATTTTCCCCCATTTACTGTATGGGAACAATAGTTAAACAGTTTCATAAATTAATCAGTGTCCCTTTGCTTGTTTTATTGCGTGGCTTAATTTGCTGGCAGATTGGATGAAAATTTGTCCTTCTATGGATATATAAGTACATCGTTTATTGCAAAGACTAAAATATTCAAGCTGTATATAAATTAGTTTTAAATGTAGGCTGTGGCTGTATTGATGGCTTTCTCAGTGCCATTCTGTTTCCTCTTTTTTTCCTGCTTGGTTGGATAGAAGGCATAAAAAAAGTATATGGTAATGCTTTTATAGCCACATTGATTTCTAAATGGATAGTTCTGTCAGATGCAGCGTTTCTATTTTTGTTTCTACACAAGGTAGCAAAATTTGTAGGAAGTGCACCTTATTTTGGCTTTATCAAAGTTTTAAAGGAGATGCAATGAGACTGTACAGGCAGTCCTTGACTTACAACCATTTGAAATGACAATGATGCCGAGGTCCTTGCCCTTGCAATTGCTATAATGTCTCCACAGTCACATGATCAAAATTTGGGCATTTGGCAACCAGCAAATACAAGCAGTCCTCAACTTACGAACACAGTTGAGCCCAAGATTTATGTTGCTAAATGAAACAGTTACTAAGTGAATTTTGCCCCATTTTGCGACATTTCTTGCCGCAGTTGTTAAATGAATCACTGCAGTTGTGAAGTTAGCAACATGATTGTTAAGTGAATCTGGCTTCTCCGCTGACTTTGCTTGTCAGAAGGTCGCAAAAGGGGATCGCATAACACCGGGACTCTGCGACCGTCATAAATATGAACCAATTGCCAAGCATCTGAATTTTGACCACTTGATCATGGGGATGCTGCAATGATCGTTAAGTGTGAAAAGTGGTCATAAGTCAGTGCCATTGTGATTTTTCAGTGCTGTTGTAACTTTGAACGGTCACTAAACAAACTGTTGTAAGTCGAGGACTGCTTGTATTTACAATCCAGCATCTCAGATCATCATCTGCGACCTTTCCAGGGGGCTTCCAATAAACAAAATTAATGGAGGAAGCTGGAGTCACTCAGCGTGATTTACTTAACAACCGCCCACCACGGCCAAAAAGATCATAAAATCCAGGTGTGACTCAATGAACAACCGCAGTGCTTGTTAACAATTGTTCACAATTGTGGCCGTGACTCGAGAGCTACCTGCACAACCCTGAGCAGAACTGCATTGTTACACATTCGAGTCTTGCTCTTCTTGGCGTGCAGGTCAGGAGAGTCCCTGGTTCCAGCGGACGACTTCACAAGACTGAAGATGGCGGCTGGGAATGGAGCGATGATGAACTAGACGAAGAAAGCGAAGAGGGCAAAGCGGCAATTTCACAGCACAGGGTGGGAGTCAATTTCACTTTTTGAAATATTCAAAGTACAGTTCCTCATTGAATTCGTGTCTTGTAGGAGGGGTCCTCGGTGCTCTCTGAACGTGACTGTTTTCTTGCAGACGTTTCATTACGCAACTAGGTAACATCATCAGTACTAAAAGTGCATACCCTATTCCTTACTAGCACTGATGATGTTACCTAGTTGGATAATGAAACGTCTGCAAGAAAACAGCCAAGCTCAGAGAGCATCCCTCATTTTAGCCCTGAGCTACAAATATTCTCCTTTATTAATGCTTTGTATTATTTTCTTCCTAGTCTAATGCATATCTTTCTGGCAATAGGAACAGTTAGAAACTGTAGGCAGGACTTATGCCAATTACATGATGTATAGATTTCATCTTCTCAGTTATCTGTTCTTTTCAACAACTGAGTCTAATTGCTGTAATATTTTAATATTACATTTAATATCCCGTTTTAATATTTCTTTAATATTTTATCTCATGTATTGTAACGTCTCCCTATTATAAATTTATATTTGAGTTTGTATGCATAATGCGTTTTATTAGTGTTGTATATCAGTGATTGCATGATCTCTCTAGATGCCATATGCTAAATAAATAAACATTTGAGTCTAATTTTTGCCAGTAGAAAATACTGGCCATTCTTCATTTTTTATGGAGATGCATGGAAAAATTTTCTACGCTTCTAAAGATTCTTTGTGAATCCACTGTTAGGGAATCTACATTCCCTAATTGATGTAATCTAGAACCAAAATGAGAGTTGTTTTGAGAAATCAGAGAATTAACAATGTCCAATCTTTGCTGTGGGTTGGTTATCAGGATACTATGCATATAACATACACAAATTTTTTCTCACGCGATATGCTTTGGGATTTCTTTCTCCTCAGCAGATGTCCTTCTGACCACAATATTATTCTCTAATCCGGTAAAACAAACCTTGAAATCTTCTAAAGGCAGCTCCCTCTTTTCTTTTCTTTTTTCAAAGAGTGATTTTTACTTAGTATTCATAGACATGGCATGCTTATCCTGCAAACTCTCATAATTAGTTATTAAAATTATTAATTATTGAAAGCAATTAGTAAGCCAGTTTATCTCCTTCTGTCCAATTCCCCCCTTTATTTCCTGTATGTAAAGCTATCAGAACTCAGCACTTTGAATCTCTTCTTGCCTCAGGAAGAAATAATGGATTTTAAATGGTTTTGTTCACATGAGGATATTCCTTTGTAAGGGTGTCTGATGACTTTCTGTGCTCTGCTCAGGACTTCACCATATGAAATCGAAATTTAGTAAAAGTGTGACTGAGATACAGCATTACCCCCCCAAATAGATTCCATGTGTTGGCATCCACAGGAAGAGGCCCAAAAAAGTCAAGATGATGACCACATCAGTGCCACGGAGGTCCATTGTTTATGTCCATTGAACATAAAAAAACAAGCAGGCCCTCAACAGCACTATTGTGGCTGCCATCTTGACTTTTTTGACCATACTATGCCTATATCGCTAAGTCCACTTGACATCTTGCTTCCCTTATGAACCTGATTGTGAGCTTCAGGCAAACATCTCAATTCTTGCTTCTTTTATTTTAAGATATAATCATACCTGCCTATAATACAGGTAGTCCTTAATTTGTGACGGGTCACTTAGTGACTTTCAAAGTTATGATGGATCCCCCCCAAAGCTAGTTGCGATCCATATTTAAAGTTATGATGATCACACACACACATCTTTCCATGGACTCATGATATACTTTGAGAATTCAGCAACAAATCCACAGTCATGCGACCATGTTTATGACAGTTTGAGTGAACTATGGGTTTGCTTAAAGATTGCAAATGACCACCTCAAATAAGGTCATAAAATTGGATTGGTCACATGGGTGATCTGATTTACAACAATCATGACTTATAACCCTAATGGGAAAGCTTAATTGTGATCATAACTTGAGGACTACCTGCATTGCAAGACTTCTGAAAGCATAGCAAGGAATTTCCTTTTGTTCAGAGCTGTAAAGCTTTGTAAGAATCATTGAGATGATGGATATTATTGAGGGTCTGAAGCCTGGAGATAAACTTCCTCCTTTCCAAAGAGCAGTTTCAAGTCCCTTTTGGGGAAATATCCCAAATAGAAATTTTTCCTTGGTCAAAATATGCTACTGTGACCATTGCAAAATTATCCAATGTTTACTTTTCAGATCATCTAAAAAAAAAATAGAAACAAAAAGCACATTGGAGTTGTGTGTTATTATATTTGTCGGAATTGCGCAGAAAGTGTCCAAATGGAGTCAGAGACACTGACATGAACTTGTAGTTTTATATAAATATATTTTGCATCTGTATATGCAGCAAACAAGATAGTCAGGCAAACTGGAGCATCATGAGGTAAATCACAGATCACACAGGGAAAAAAAGGAGGGGGAAAAGGGAAACTCTCCCTCCACACCCACAGCGACCAATCACAGCGCAGATTGCCTCACGCAGGAGCCCGCCCTCTCCAGTCAATCATCTCTAACTGAGTTCTGGCTCACTGCACAATCCCACTGCTCCAGCTACTAAATTTGAATGTCTTTACATATTGTCTGCACATTTCCAACTTTCAGTAAAAAAAATAAAAATCCATAAATCAGAGTTATTAGCAGCCTTGTCTCTCTTCAGATAACAATTTACCGGAATAAAGTATATTAACCCCCATGCAGCTCAGTGACACTTTCACATAGATTGATTTCCAAGGCACCTTGAATAGCCTAGGGTGTTTCTGTTTCTCCAAGATAAATTGAAACTTGTCATAAAAACTGCACTGTCCTATTCTGCTATAAACAGTTATGACGTTGTACACTAATCACAAGTGTCTTTTTTTCTCTTTTAGTCTCCCAGAGTGAAAGAATCCTTACTGAACTCTGAGGTAACTTGTGAATCATGTACATTATATTAGAAATGTCCACTAAAGCATGTCCACTGCTTTAGTGGAGGATTTAAGATGTGTGGATTTCCTGGCTGGAGAATTGTGTGAGTTGAAGTCCACGCGTTACCAAGGTTGGGAACCCCTGCATTATAGTATTATGCATCTGTTTTATAATAGAATAACTTGGAGCTGAATTGTTTTCAAAATTGATTGATTATGTGTCATCAAGTTAGTATCAACGTGTAGCAACCACATAAGGAGAACTTACCCAGCATGATCTGTCTCTAACTTGGTTCTTCAGATCTTTCCAGCCTCCATTGGTGATGAGTCCATCCACCTTTCTCCTTCCTTCCTTCCTTCCTTCCTTCCTTCCTTCCTTCCTTCCTTCCTTCCTCCCTCCCTCCCTCCCTCCCTCCCTCCCTCCCTCCCCCATCCATCCATCCATCCATCCATCCATCCATTCATCCTTTTCCAGTATTGTAGACATATCCAACAGGAGGCAGCTTTGCATTCATTGTTGGGTCATGTGCTAGCAAACTAGGGTTGACTCTTAGTGACCACATAGGTAGACCTTATCCAAGATGTTCTGTTCCCAGTCTGGTGCTTCAGATTTTCCATTGGTGCACTATGGCTGCTTTAGTTGACTTTGTCTACCTTACTGTTGGTCATCCTTTCCCCCCCCCTCTTTCTTCCTCTTTTTTCCTTCCTTTCTTCCTGTCCTCCCCAGTATGGTGGATCTTTCAAAAGAGCTGGGTCTTTGATGCGTAGCCACCTCTTAAGGATGCTTCACTGGTTTTCTTGCGCATTGCAGAGAGTTGCAAATGTGGTCTCTTTGAATTCGGCAATTCTGTGATAATGCCCCCACTTTTGCTGGTTGTACAAATGCTATTTGGGCTTCAGATTCACTTTTTTTTTTCAGGTAGTTGGTGAAGATCCACCATTTGTATCCCATGCAGCTAGTCCTCAACTTACAATAGTTCATTTAGTGACCATTCAACAGTTCATTTAGTGACCATTGAAAAAAGAGACATGACTATTTTTCAAACTTAACAACCATTGCAGCATCTCCATGGTCATGTGATCAAAATTCGACCGTTTGGCAACTGACAGTTACAGTGTCCCGGGGTCATGTAATCTTTTTTTGCAACCTTCTGACAAGCAAAGTCAATGGGGAAGCCAGACTCATTTAACCACCATGTGATTAACTTAACAACTGCAGTGATTCACTTAATAACTGTGGCAAGAAAGGTCGTAAAATGGGGTAAAAACTCATTAAACAAATGTTTTGCTTAGCAACAGAAATTTTGGGCTCAATTGTGGTCATAAGTCGAGGACTATCTGTATTGTGTTGTAGTAGTTTATTTATTTATCCATCCATCCATCCACTCACTCACTCACTCACTCACTCACTCACTCATGTATTTTATTACAGCTGTTTTCATCAGCTGAGCCAACCGGCCCTTTGCTCAACCTCCAAGATCAGCCTGCTGCTCAACTACCTCAGCCTTCAGGTCAAGTCCCTGCACAACCTCCTGTTGCTGCCTCCGGTCCAGCTTCTCAGACCCCAGCAGCAGCTCCTTCAGCAGCACAGGTAAGGCCCAGTGGGGAAGCTTAAAAGACAAAGGTAAAGGTTTTCCCTGTCCAGTCATGTCCAACTCTAGGATGCAGTAGTCATCTCCATTTCTTAGCTGAGGGAGCCAGCATTGTCTGAAGACGCTTCTGTGGTCATGTGGCCAGCATGGCTAAATGCCAAGGCGCAGTGAACGGTGTTAATTTTCTCATTGTTGTGAAACCTGTTTATCTACTCGCATTTGTGTGCTTTCAAATTGCTAGGTGGGCAGACGCTAGGTCAGGGGTAGGCAACCATGCTGGCTCAGGAATTCTGGGAGTTGAAGTCCACGAGTCATAAAAGAGCCAAGGTTGCCTACCCCTGCGCTAGGACAAGTATTTGGAGCTCATCCCATCATGTGACACTCGGGTCTTGAACCCAGGCTGTCAACTGACAAGCTCAGCATCTTTAACCATTGAGCCATCGTGCCTTAATGACTTAATGCAGGGGTCTTCAAACTTGGCCTTTTTATGACTTGTGGACTTCAACTCCCAGAATTCCTCAGCCAGCGTGCCTGGCTGAGGAATTCTGGGAGTTGAAGTCCACAAGTCATAAACGGGCCAAGTTTGAATACCAGTGATGTAATGGCTTCCCAAATGAAAGGGGAAACTGGTTTCAAATCTGCTAGATGAATTTCTTCTAAATAATTCCAAGCTTCCATTTAGAAACTGTTTCAGGTAATCCCCGACTTACAATCGATTTCTTAACGACTGTTCAAAGTTATGACGGACTCCCTCTCAAAGCTGTTTACGACCCATTTTTTAAGTTTTGATGGCCACACTCCTCCATAGCCACATTATCGCATTTTGGGCACTTGGCCACTAGCTCATCTTTATGGCTGTTTATAGCATCACATGACCATTGTTTGCATTTTTTCTGCCAGTCACGGCATTTACTTCCAGTTTCCAGCAGAAAAAGATGTGATATTTTTCTGCCACTCTGAACAGCTGCTAAAGATGGCCATTCCTGCAGATTTTGATTGAACAAATTTGATAGTAGTAGTAGTAGTAGTAATATTTGTAGCAGTATTACATGTAATCCTCGCTTAACAACCCTAATTGAAACCAGCAACTCCATTGCTAAGTGAAGTGGTCATTAAGCAAAACACTGCGTGATCAACCCGATTTAGCTATGATACTCCTGATTGTGGTCATTAACTAATTATTTACCATCATTAAGCAAGATATCATGTGATCAGGACTTACAACTTCCTGCCAGCTTCCCCATTGACTGTGCTTGTTAGAAACTGCCTGGGAAGGTCACAAATGGTGATCGTGTGACCATGAAATGTTGTAAACAGTTGTAAATGTGCAACCCATTGCTAAATGCCCAATTCATCATGTGACCAAGGGGAAAGATGTCAATGCAAGGATCAGTCCCAAATCCTTTTTTTCAATGCCTTCATAACTTCAAACAGGCACTAAATGAATGGTCATTAATCAAGGAACTATTAGCAGTAATATAATAAATAAATTTGTCTTCTCCACATTCCTGCCAGATTCAAAATGATTCATAATGCAATATAAAGACAGGTCTCGACTTATGACTACAATTGAGCCCAAAATTTCTGTTGTTAAGCAAGACAGTTGTTAAGTGCGTTTTGCCCCATTTTACGACTTTTCTTGCCACAGCTGTTAAATGAAGCACTGAAGTTGTTAAGTTAGTCACATGGTTGTTAATTGAATCTGGCTTCCCCGCTGATTTAGCTTGTTAGAAGGTCGCAAAAGGGGATCACATGAGCCTGGACACTGCAACCGTCATAAATGTGAGTCAATTTGTGTCTGAATTTTGATCACGTGACCATGGGGATGCTGCAACGGTCGTAAATATGAGAAGTGGTCATAGGTCATTTTTTTTCCAGTGCTTTGTAACTTAACAATCAGTAAATAAATGGTTGTAAGTCAAGGACTATCTGATAGGAAATCAACCTTCCAAATAACAACATCAGTAATAAAAAATAATTATTTTTATAAAAACTGGAAAGTTCCAATTACATAGTATACAATTGCTACTCCTCCCCTCTTCTCACCTCCTTTTTAGCATCATACCATTCAGTGGATCTCATCTATCAGGTTCCATTGATAATTAGGATTCTAATTTCCATTGGTCCCAGCTCATGCAGAACTTTCTGGCATTTTGGGATAGCTGGCATAGTTTGACTATTATTTGGCTCTGCACTAATGGATTCTGAGCAGCCTTGCTACTTTCTATTCACTTTGAGTGGGCCTTCTGAAGGATCTGTTAAAAACCAAATTAATAAAAAAAAAAAGCTCAAGGTTCTTTCAGTGCCAAAGGTTAGAATGCGTCAAATCACGCACTGCAGAGAAAGGACAAAATAAATAAGTCCTGTGTGCTGATAGGGCATCAGGGTCAAAATCCAGATAGGCTGAGAAGACACAACAAGAAAATCCGTTCCTGAATATTCTTCCTAATTTTATGGATTGACCAGGTGCTGGGCAAAAAACATTAAAATCAGTTTTCATTTGGGTTCAGTTGAGGACCACCTGATTTATTTCTCAACCTGCCTTTGAGGTGGTCAACTTGGTCTCTTTAGTTCGTTGAGAAAGTAAATATATCATTACAGGTAATCCTTGACTATTTGTTTAGTGACTGTTCAAAGTTACAGTGGCAATGATTGTTTTTTCACACTTACTACCATTGCAGCATCCCCATGGTCACATGATCAAAATTCAGGTGCTTGGAAACTAGCATGTATTTATGACAGTTACACTGTCCCAGAGTCATGTGATCATCATTCTCAACCTTCCCAGGGGGCTTTCAACAAGCAAAGTCAATGAGGAAAGCCAGATTTGTTTAACATGATTCACTTAACAACTGCAATATACACTTAACAATCGTGGCAAAAAAGGTCATAAAACTGGACATAAATCACTTAACGACTGTCTTGCTTAGCAATGGAAATTTTGGGTTCAGTTGTGATCATAAGGGCAGGACTGCCTGTTTAACTCTTTGCTTTCGTGGATTAAAAAAAATAATCTTTTTTTCTCTTTTGTTAAGGTACCTCCCGCACCTACAGCACAAGAAGAGCCCAAAATTCCAATAAGCCTCGTTCTACGATTAAGGTAAGCAGGCTGGACCCACCTGTAGATACGAGAGAAAGCTAACCTGGTCTAGGGGTGGATGGTGCTGGAGCAAGCATAAGAAGACCCATGTTTTGATGATGACGTTATCCATTCAGTTGTGTCCAACTCTTGGTGGTTCTATGGCCTTGTCTCTCCACATCTTCCAATCTTGCACTGCTTCTTTGAATTATTCTGTGTTCTCACGGGTATCGTATCACGTGACGTATTGTGACGTACCGTGACATTTTTTGCCTTTGCAGAGCTGGGGTGGGGCGTGGCCTGTGCGTGATGCATCTGGCCGCCAGTTTGTTACCCCTGTTCTGGCTGATGTCAGCTTTCATGGTGTCCAGCCACCCTGTTCTTGGGAGGCCTGGTTTCCTTGTACTGTTAACTTTTCACAACATAATTGCTTTCTCTCGTGAATTCCTCTACATGACATGGCCAAAGTAAGTGAGACACAAACTTGTGATTTTGCCTTCCAGTGACACGTCTGGAGTTATGTGCTCCAATGCTTGCTTGTTAGTTCACCTTTGCTATCCAAGGAATATGCAGGAGCCTTCTCCAGCACCCCAGCTCAAACGAGTCGATTTTCTTCCTGTCTTGATTTTTTAAGGTCCAACTTTCACAGACACAGGAAGCTATGGTTCTTATCATCCCTGAGCCATACAGGCTCACTGGATGACTCAGGACCAAGCCCCTCTCTTTTGCAAAACTGGGAAATTAAACAAACAAACAAAAAATCTGTTCTACCAATCCATGCTGGACCAATAACCACTATGCAGTCAGACGATTCAGGTTAATATGTTCTATTGATATTTCATTTTATTCACATGCTACAGATTTATAGCATTCTGATGCTGGATAAAACGTGTAGGACTCAAAATGTGTGCATTCTGAGCTCAAAACAAGATTGTGTGGTTTTGTTATAATAATAATAATACTTTAATTTATACCCCGCCCTTCTCCCGAGGGACTCAGGGCGGCTTACAGGTAAGTAAAAACAGAGCTATACAATAAATATCTAAAAACCAAATTAAAATATATATTAGATAAACCTGTTATTAGAAAAATTATAAAATCCCTATTAAAATCCCTATAAACCCCCCCCCCTAGGCCAATCCCGC